TTTTTCTTTAATAATAGCTAAATTTACCTTTAAAAAGGATTTGGCTAATCTTGAGATACTCTAAAACTCCATCCGAATTCCTAAACACTACTACCACATACGACCAGAAGTAGACATTTGGACAATGAAAAAATCCACATTATCTTCCTCAACTTTTGCGAAAATACGTTTTTCTCCCTGAACTTAAAATCGGGTAAACCACGTCCCTAACTTTTAAAACCATTTATTTTATCTCCCTAACCGGTTATAAGCGGTTTTAAAGTCGATTTTGTCTTTCTTTTTTATTTATTTCGATTGAATCTTTGAAAAATCATAGTAAATCACAGAAAAATCATAAAATGAAAAATCTAATTTTGTTTGACTCCACATGAGAACATAGTAAACATATAATATGATATGCTTTAGTATAACTTTTTTGCTATAGCTTTAGATCTATGCTTTTCTATAATTAATTCATAGCTGCAGTTTCTATAGTCTAATCGTGGTGAGATTTTAATGGTAGACTAATTGTTGTATGCTTGAACTGTAGTTAAAATTCATACTGATTGGTGATTCATTGAAACTACAACAAATTGATAGATCACAAATTCAAACAGATCACAAATTCAAATGGTTCAAACATAACACTCTAACAGGTCACAAATTGACATGGTTCAAACATAACACTCTTAACAGTTCAACCACTCCAGTCTCGGCAACACCTCTTCAACCACGCCAACCTTCCTCCATTTGTTGTCAATTTCTTAAATATTGTTCGGTTGTATTTTTGGGAAAACAGCATAGTTGCCACATAGAGCTCATCTGCGTCCTCGGCCAATCCACATTCCTTTACCAAACTCATACAATGGTCTATGTCCTGCTCCACTTGTTCCTCCTCCAACCTCTTCTCTTCTTTCTCCAACCTCTTCTATTCTTTCTTCTGTTCTTGAAGTTCCTTCAAGGTATTGACCTCAGTGCTGGTCCCAAATTGAATGGCCTATGTCAACCCCTTCACGGCCTTGATCATTGGACTCTTGTTCTTCTTGGCTGGGCTTGAGGCTGAATCTATGGTGCTGCTCCCCCTCTTTCGACTGGTGGTACTCCGCACTCATCGGACTAGCATGGGTGCCTCTGTCTTCCTCTGCATCCCCATCTTGATCATCTTCTTCCCCATATGTATGTGCTGGAGTTGAATTTCCTCCAGGGATGCACGAGGACCGTCCATCAACTGTATTACCTTGGAACATTTCTGCAAGGTGATTGATGTAAGATGGGATGGCCCATCTGAACTTCTTGCATTATGCATAGTTTTTTCTAAAATGTAGAAATGCAGACACATATTAGCACAACAGCATGGCAAATGAATGGCTATAACAGCGTAGAAATGTAGAAATGCAGACACATATTAGTACCTCTGTGTTTTTGGTCTACCAGTCATCATCAGCTATGATTGTTCCATTCTCATTGTGGCCTAATCCTGTTTCACCTTGGCTCCAATCATGCCATTGCCACATAGTCTTGCACTGAGTCCATCATTTCTTGAATTGTTTGACTTCATGGTTGAGGCTAGTCCTTTCAAAATATTTCTAGGCTATAATCTTGTAAGCTGTATTTTTCATCTGCCCATTTGGACAATTGCCTTCTCTAATTTGTTCAACACATAGTTCACATAATATATGTGTGTTTCCTTCACTTGTCCAATTTGCCTTGTCAAAACGGTTCTATTGCGGAAAACAGTTCTATCATCAAGAAAAGATCATCTATTACATGAAACAATTTACACATAAAGATCTGATAAATTAAATAGTTACTATTGCAAGCACACATGCTGGATGGTTATTTTTGTAGCAGCATATATAACAATTGGAGCTCTAGGCCTCAACATTGGATTTTCAAAAAAAAAACATGCTGGATGGTTACTATTGCAAGCACACATGCTGGATGGTTACTATTGCAAGCACACATGCTCGGGAATGCACTATGCAATTTGATTATTGAAGCTCGGGAAGTAGTAGCTAGTTTTGTTTACCATATACATACATAAGCTAATAAAAACACATGCTTGGATTATTGCAGAACCACCAGCAACAGGTAGATATAGCTAGACATCAGAAGATGACAACCAAACCACGCATTATCCGATATACATACGCCTAACCAAAGAAAAGATAGCATTTCATACACAAGTGTCACTAGGCTTTATTACTCAGTTCAGAGCTGCATAATACTAAGTTGATATTCCAATCCTGAATTTCTGGAGGGGATTAGTGTATGTCCGTAGCCAGCAGACTCATATGTACCGCTCCAGCATTGACAAACAAACACATATCAAGATTCTAGATCTTCGGTAAAGAAAACATACTGAACGATGCACCAGATATATCATATATGTTCAAAGTTGAGACTGAAACTATCTACTCAGTATGATATCACACGTCCATAACTAAAACTTCATCAATCTAGATATATATATCTTACACGTGTTATAGCTAGTAGTGCATGTCTGCAAAGTTTATAGCACTGGTTGTACCCTTGCGCATAGTCATGGAACATTGAATCCACTCCAGGATGTACTGGAACAAAAATCACAGAACTGGAACTTACCAACTGGGAGCCGTTGTCATCTGCTTGCTCCCACTGATTGTGGGCGCCAAGATCCTATGGAGGAAAGGAGTTCTCGGCAGAAGACGATCCACGACTAGGGCGGTTAGGCATCAACCTACCACGGCCTCCGCCACCAATCCCCGGAGGAGCATGGTCGGGTCCCTGTGGCACGCGGCCGCCTGCAGCTCTAGTGTTGAGGGACTTGGAGCGGTGACCTTGTCTGCGAGCAGCCTGGCATCCTCCACGGCCGGGTCCGCTCCCACCACCGCCTTGACGAGGAGGCTGGAACAGTCCATGGCCGGATCTGGGGGCAAGAGGAGGTAGCCGTGGGTCGTCGTGACCTCCCTCCGACTGCAGGTACCCCGAGTAGGAGTCGATGTACGGGAAGCCGTCACCTTGGGAGTTTCAGATCGAGGGTTTCCAGACCAACCCTAGGAGTCGAGAGGCTCGGGGGCGCCGGAGGATACGACGACTCCTGGGAAAAGATGCCATAGTCCTCGTCGTCGTGGCAGGCGGCGGAAGAATGGAAGGAGGGAGCCGCCGAAGAACTCGTCGGGGAGAAATAGTCGCGGTAGCCGCTCCCGTGCCGTCCATGGTGGATACGGCGTGGGAAGAAGCGGGGGCGTCGGTGGCGGCGTGGGGAATTGCGTGGGCGGTGGCGGTCTCGGCGGCGTAAGGAGCAGCTCCTACTTCCGATCCACCGAGACCGGGAGGAGCAGGCGCGGGACCGGGTGCATTGGGGAAGAGCGCGTGGTGGTGGCGAGTGCGGGGGCGTCGGTGGTGGGAGATTTGAAAAATGGGACTCGAAGTTTGCAGATTTGATACTAGACCCATATTCATAGACATAGATAGATCCACTTGTCATTCACCGATTGTCAACGTAATATTTTTTCGTCGGTGGTGGCATGGAAGGAGCGCGCGGGTCTGAGGGGCATCCCCTGTCCACATTGCATTTTAGTCCCTTAGCATCTCTTTCATTGGACTGATCCACTTTAGTCATTTTTTAAGTCAGTTTCTTTGGCCCTAAAGTTTAGTAGTAGCTACTATATTTTACCAAACAGCGCATGACTGGACCCCAACCTCATTCACAAACCTTAGGGCATGTACAACAGAGAGACAGCTGCTGTAAGTTCTTAGAATTTACAACACAGACGACTAAACAGACAGCTCATACAATCCACATACAGATGCTGTTTGTTTGACTGTCTACAAATCGTTTAATGCTTGCATGTAGTCATGATCAATCATGAATATCATTTCTACGTACCATTGTGTTTCTAATTGATACAAAACAAATCATTCAAAGTAAATCATATATTACATATATAATGTAATATAATATATTTCATAGATCAAATATAACACACTGTTATCACGTAACTGAAAATGAGCTTGATGGCAAGCAATCAAGCATTCAGTTAACCGGTAGGCCTGAAGAATGGATGGACTATACCGAGTGGTGCTCACTTGGGCCGAGGAGAATAAGAATGCTGCTGCGTCCATTAGGCCATAGATTAGGCTTAGGCCATGTACAACCCGTCTATTTGTAAAGTTTTAGGAATGCACACACAGACAGCTTATACAATGGCCGTCTCTTTCTGTGAACTATTAAATATACGCAAATAAACCATGATCAAATAGGAAGATCTTTGTATATCATTTTGTTGCATCTTGATTCTTGATACAATCACGTACAAATAAGATGAATGGAATTACAAATTTTCTTAAGAACCATTGTCACATATCATCTACCCCTATGAGTATCACTAAACAAATATTAAAAGTACAGGAAATAAAAAAATCTCTTCCACTCTACTCATGTGCGGCCATCCATTCAACTCTATCATTGCATCTGTACTCTCTCTCACACTCGCAGTCCAGACTTGGACCGGTCTCTCGTCTCGATCGGAACGGCCCTCTCACTTGGAGTCCCGGAGAGATCGGAACAGCCGGCGCGATGGCAAGCAAGGGGAGACGACCAACGCGTGTCCCTCGGACGTCTACGGCCATGGTGGCGGCGGCGGCGACGGCGAGCTCGTGTCGTACGTCCTCCGCGCCATGCCCAACTGTCTTTGGCCTGCCACATTCATCAGCTCTGGTGTCTACGCGCATTCTTCTTCTCCTGCGCAACCGCACCGGATCTGTCCGAGCCTGTTGCAACAGGTGTGAGGTGTGGAGACGTTAATTTCGTATGAGAGCCCGAGCCCGAGCCATCGTCTCATGAGACGACGACCTAGATGTGTATTTATAAAAATGACCGCACACAGACGGCTCCGCAACGACCGTTGTACGTGCCCTTAGGAAGCCGGTAGGCAGGCACTGGCGGCCGACAAGCGCAACGATAGACGCTCACACAAAATTCCCGCTTCCTGTCTTACCCCTCCAAAACCCTAGTCCGTCCCCGGCCGGCGACGAGGATGCCTGGTATGCCGACGGACGGTGGCGGTGCTATCGTACCTTTTACAGGGGAGCCTGGCCAAGCGGCGCCCCCGCCGCCACCCGTGCGGCCAATCCGCCACGGCGTGGCGCCACCCATCTTCCGCATCTACGTCTCCTGGTCCAGCGGCAACCTTCTGCAGGTCGCGTGCCTCCGCCCGCCGAATTCGGAAGGTGGCGGCGGCACGGAGGAGGTCGTTGGGAGTGTGGTGGAGGTGAATCTCGGCGACGGTGGCAGCGGTGGCTCGGAGGCCGAGGAGAAAATTGACGAGGCGGAGATGCGGCGGATCGAGTACGGGTCGGTGCCGGCCTTCGCGCTGCTGCAGAGCAGGAAGAACACCCTTGCAGATGCTGCTACTATGTCACACGTGCCCTCAGTCCCCGATCATGCAGAATGGTGAACTTTATTTCGAGGCTTTATATATACACTATTACTGAGTACATGCTTATGATTAGTGATTAATTTGGTTACTGCCTGTACTTAGTAATTATCTCCTTGTGGAACAAGCTATCGGCTTAACGCCACAGGATCCTCAAAGCAGAAATTTGCTAAGCATCTTTGACTTCACCAAAATGTGATGTGATACAGCAGTAGTGTTTCTGTCAGCTGTCTGATCCATAACATTGCAGATTGCAGAAGCTTAAGTTGTTACTTTATTGCATTCACACTGATGCACGTGTTTGCACCAGTAAAAATATGATCAAAACTCCTTATGATATGAGTTGTTCATTTTGCTGAATAGTATTATGTTACACTGTAAGTTGTGCTGCCGTTTAATCTTAGTGTTGTTCCATTAGGTGGCAATATGTGCTTGAATACAGCAAAACCATTGGCAATCTCCTTGGGAACCCAGACCCTCCTGTTTTCATGATTGAAGACCCCAAGACAATTCTTAAGGTGTCTATATCTATGTGTTATGCTGTTTTATATTCTATTACTGGTGATCTGGATCAATTCTTACATGATTTAGTTAAACTTCAAATGTTTTCTCTCCCCTGTTAAAAAAAATACACTTTAAAGGTTAGGGAGAAACCGACAAGTTTAAGGGCTGCTTGGGAGTTGTTGGAGATATTCTATGTTGATAAACATTTGCAAGGCTGGCTTCCTGAGCGTCTTGTTGATTGGTTAGCCGTAATACTCTTTCTTTTAACCATTTTCTCGTTCCATTTGCTTACACTCTGTCCATGGATGTCTCTCTCATTCTACTTCCTGTGGTTTTAGGATTTTGACAGCCTGTTGTCAACGATGGCGAGCACGGTGTACTCTAAGCTCAGCAATTTCCAGAAAAAACTCATTAACTTGCAGGTTGGTTTCAATATGACTTGCATCTTCCAATCATGTGATCTGCTGTTTTGCTTATACAGACTCCCAGTATCCTGTATTCATGTGGCTATCCCAGCATGCGATTGATATTCTGTTTTACTATCTACTACTATTCATATGCATTACTTCCAATCCTTGATGTCCTTCTGTTGATGTGGTTAAAGTCAAACGCATCATGAGAGATCATTTTGTAGATTGTTGAAGATGATCCTGATTACTGGAATGGTTTGTCAGCAGCACTTTCAGTTGGATGGCTTGATATTGTGGTACGTATGTTTTCTTCATTTTTCTGACAAGTTGGTGCTTTTGTCAGATGCTTCCTGTTTGAAGTTTTTCTTCATGTAGGTGAATACGCTACGGTTTCATGGATCCTACCAATTAGATCAGATGGATAACCGTGAGGTATTTCAGTTATTTTTGCTGGTTTCTTTGAGCTTATTTTTATTTCTTCTTTTATTAGCTTATCATTTATCTTGCAAACAAAATATCATTAGATCTCTTAGGGTTCTAGATATTTTATTATTTTTGTGTTTGTAGAATTTGTTGTCTTTAATAATTACTCTGCATATAAACTGCAAGACTGTGTCCAAATGTACAATAATAGAAATGTATGAATTATGCTTTGTTTTGCTCCATGTCATTTTACCGTGGAGTCTGAAGTCTGAACTGTTAAAATGGTTCGCCTGCTGCAACAAATACAATTAATTTAAGTGCTGGTTGTGTAGTGAATAATTTCTTATAAATCAAGCCAATTTGGGTTGAGTGCGAACAGTAGCATATAAGACTCTGACGTGGATCTTGTTTTTGTATGACTGTTGTGAAGATGAAAGTGGAAACACGGAATGGCGGAATGGATCTGTTTGAACTTAAATTTAGGTGGGAACTCATAATATGAGGACTCATATTGGATACCTTTGACTTGTTCATTTTAGATTTGATTGTTTCTTTCCTTTTATGCTTGAATTCATTTATTTTGCAATTAAGATTCCATGAAAATGTAACTGTGCTACGGTGTAATGTACTTTAGCTTAATGTTAGTACTTTAGTTCTTTCACTTACATGCATTTTCTTCAGGAGTTTAGCTGAGGCTGTAGTAATACATGTATTCCTTCTAGCTTTGGTCATGTGCCACCATGTTATGTTGTCAGTCGATTTTATGTATACCTGGCCTAAAATAATTACTTTTTCTTCCTTTGGTTACCAGACAGAAAATGGATTGGTCGAGGCTGTTGCTGTTCTTGTATCAACGATGCCCCGCTTGAGACCGAATTTGCCAACTGGTAAATTAGGCCAGTGCTGCAAAACAAGACCTGATTTTATCAAGGTTTGTCTTATAAAATGGTGGCATCTTCTCTTGAAGCAAGTATCATCTTCTGTCCCCTTGAATTCCCTTGAATTAGGGATATTGTATGATTGTACTAGTTCTACGCTGTCAAAAAAAACTTGACCACCTGTGAGCAACCGGGTTTGAGCCTGGGTGGCTAGCCTCTAAGATGGAGGCTCTACCAACTGAGCTATCACTTGGTTTTCAATTCTGTGCCGTTAACGAAAACATTATTATTTCATATCATTGAAGAATTCCTACAAAAGTTGATTGGCTCATTTTTATTGTTCTTGCTCTGTTATTAGTTTTGCACTGCATGCTGGAACCTAGATGCTTCACAGCTATGACTGTATAATCACCATAATGACTGTTGGCAGTGGGCACTATTGCAGATTGAAGTTCTCAGTGCACACCATATGATTCTACCATCTGATTGTTCGTTGTTGCGAATGATATGGTTGCTTTGCTGCACAATCTCTATCTACTTTCTGAGATTATTTTATCAAAATGAAAAAGAAAACGTGAAAGGCACAATTTTGTTTGTATAAAAGTATATAATATTGATTCTAATTTCTAAATGGTCCAAATATGTGTGGCATCCTTCAGGTGCCTTTTTTGTGCATATTTTGAAATTGGAAGTCCTCTTTGTGTGCACGTTTGTAAGCCTTATGGTCAAGTCAGTGGAAAGCTTTTGCTAAGGTATCGATATTTTCAGGCATGGGAAAAGTGGCGAGGTCAAGTAACTAAACTGGAGTGCAGTGCATTTTGGATCCAGTGCGGCCACCAAAAAACCCGTGATGGTTTGAAGAATTTGCTTCATATTATGATGGGGAACATAAATGAACTCACTGATGCTACTTCCCATTGGCTGGAGCTGTTTGCTTCTCATTTTCTTTACATAAAACCATTTACAGTGGTTAGTTCTCTTGTATTATAATCTATAGTGCTTTGTGGTTCCTCTGCTTGATTAAGTTGTTAATAGCTGATGATTGCATCACTTAATGACCATTTCTCAAGTATAAATGTATCATGGGCCTTTTCTCCTTAATACTGAAAAGGTTTCAAATGGTTCTCCCTAAAAGAAAAATCCATGTCAAGATTACTATTATTAAAACACCTACTTGCTCGTGAGATCATTTATTTGAAATCCTGGACCCACCATATGAGCCCAGATACTGTTTTTCTAAATCAATGTCCATACAACCTGCTATTAATTTTAAACTGCATTGCACAGTGATATGTATAATGACAGCAGATGTTTTTTTTTGGGGGGTTTGGATTCTCTTAGCCCTCCAATTTCTTCCTTTTCTCACGCAAACAATTAGTTTTCAGTATATAGTTTCGTTTTTTTTTCTATTTGTTTTTGTTGGAAAGAGTTCCCTCTGCTCTTATACAAAGCAAGTGTTTCCAATTTAGGTGCTGGGCATACCAGTTTACCATCCAAAAGTAAATGTAAGGCCAAGGCAGCTATCCTGTTACATATTTCCTTAGATTTTGACGATGTCTGACATCGGGTAGTTGGTTGGAGTGAAGTTGTTCATCCAGTTCATTGTCCTCTTCTTGACCACCTTCAGCTGGCCGTGGTCGTGTTGCTTGAGCTGCAAACTCCACTTCAGCAGAAATGAAAGCCCAATAAAACACTTCAAAAGGGTTGTTAGGAAACGCTTTCAGTATATAGTTCAATAGTTCATACCCTTGTTTAAGTTTTTTCTGAAGTATGCATTTGAAAAACTGACATCTTACATCATAATAAAATATACATCTTGTCAGGGTTTTGAAGGGATGCACCTTTTAGCACAGAAATGCATACAGCTTAAGCCATCCTCTGGCACTAATGGATTAACAGGCCTCATTCTTGGTGTCCTTTCAGAAAATACAGAGGTTAGAGCATGAAGTCATCCTCTATCGATGTCCTTGGACTTCTTATACATTCTTATTTCTTGTTTGTATAACATCTTTTCCATGTAGGTTGTCTTGGCAGAATGCACAAAAAATTTTGGCCCTTGGTAAGATGGACAATTTGCTAATTTCTATTCATTGAAACACTGTCCTAACTGATTTGGGCATTTGTACCTGCAGGCTGGTCACACATGCTATGGAACTTCTGACAGCTGATAATGACTATGCGGATGTTATGTTGCATGAAGAGCGACCTAACTTAGGTGGTATAAGCATAGAGGAACTGCACCGGCTAGTCTATGCTCAAGTTTTATGTTCTCATTCTTTAACTTGGCAGGTTAGTTATGTAACATAGTAACCCTAGTACACCACCAACTAATTAGTTTAGTTCTATGTATTTTTATTAGGCATTAGCCATGCACTCCTTGAACTAGCAACTGCACGAATTGCATGCTTGCATTATTTAACTGGGATTATTTCCAGTGGTGGAGCTGGTGAATTTCCAAGCCTAGGGCCAGTAGTTAAGCACCTACAAATTTGAAACCTGATCCGCATATCAATTTGGTTAAGCACCTATAAATTTGAAACCTGATCCGTTGTTCACAAAGGCGAACAATAAAATACGTAATTTAGTGGATGTATCTTGGTTCCACATATAATTGTACAACAAACTGATTCTAGTTGCACGGCATTTCCATTATTAGTTCTCATTGCACATTTGTACTTATACAGAAACAAAAGATTGGCTTGGTTGTATAATAGGCGTAGGAGTCTAGGACCAAGAGAAAAAAAAGGATTTGAATGTCTGTAAGTTTCCATTGTGTAAGTTTACGGAATGCAAAAGATAAACAAAGTAAAACAACCTGACTGCTTAGTTGCTACATCCTACAAAAACACAAATATTGAGCGATGGAACCATGGAAAATTGGAACGGGAGATTTGGTTATTTCATATTTGGTTGGAGGCTTGGATCAATCGAATTAGAGAACAACCTGTTGTAATGTATTCCTTGTGCGGTGTACCCCTATTACTCTGCAGTCTTGCAGACGAGAAGGGGCCACACAGCACAGAGGCACGCTAGTTGCCGGCTCGCCAGCTAGGCGGCCGCCCAACGTGCCTCCGACCATGGAGCGCGGAGCTGTGGACAGCCTCTAGCGGCTAGCGCAGAGGACCTGGTGGCGACAGGCTGCCGCAACCCCTCTTGCCGAGTTGCCGGCTGGCGGTGACACGATGGACGGATGGCAGTGGCTAGGGTTAAGCAACACTGCAGCAGCCAGCCGGACAGGGAGAGGAACGGCTGAACAGGGATGCAAGTCGCCAAGTCAGATTGCGGCGCTGGCGCACGCCGCTGCACGCTGACTTCCGGAGTCAGGGTCAGGTGTCGAGGAGCTCCTGCTTTCTCCTCTCTGTCTGGACCGGCTGGAAGTAAGAATTTGGGCCAACAGCCCAGGGTTACTTCAGATTGGGCCAAAAATTCACATGTAGTATAAGAAGTATTTTGGGCCAAGCCTAGGGCTGTGGTCCTAGGCCCATATCCGCCCCTGATTACTTCCTTTTTATCTCTCATTTCAGTTCATGATGCCTTATTATTTCCTTTTTATCTCTCATTTCAGTTCTTGATGCCCTTTTGTCTGTTTATTTTCCCTCGAGATCTCTTTTCCCTTTTACCTCTCGGCTGGCTTACTGAAGCATGGATCCATCCAATGGTAAATGCCGAGTGGTGAATAGGAACTATTTTATATGTTTTGCTGAATATTTATATGTGCATATGCCTTTGATTTGATATATTAATCTGTTTTATTTTTAGTATGAGAAACTTTTGAATTTCTGTTGTCGTTTGTTTGTGATAGCAAAAATGTCTCCTTTTGACAACATTTATCTTGGCTATCTTGCATGTTTGGTTCTCAGATTGCGCCTACTTATCTGTCCTCATGTCTAAACCAAGGCCTAGGACTCTTGGAGATTCTACTTCTCAAGCAACCCATACAAGATAATTGCCTAGTACTCAAGGTACCATGCATTTTAATTCTACACCAACTTTCAGCGTCTCAAACCCACTTTTATTGTCTAATCCTTATTTCTATGGGCAGACTTTGGAAATTTGCCGATTGTACGAACTGGAGAATGTTAGTACAATCATCATGAAGGTAAACATGGATTCATCTTGTGTTTGCATGTTGCTTATTCAAACTTCCACATGTAGCTTTCATTTTCCATTGTTCTCAACTGAACTCAACGTTAGCTTAAACTAAGGATTCATATCTAATAACTGTTTGTTTGTCTTTTAGATTGCTGGCATTTATCATTGGAAGCATGGACGAAAAGGAACTGGTGTATACTGGTTCCAGCAAGCTCATGATAAAGTTTGTCTTGACAGAATTGCTCAGCAGTTGTTCGAACACATTGGGAAGTCAGTGACAGATGATAGTTTTAAGGTTTCTTTTTTCTTTCTAAATTCCTCAGATGTAATTGGCAACTAGTTCTCTGCACAATAGTAACCTAGTAACAATGATCAAAAGGAAGAGTAATCCCCTTCAACTAATTACGATTTTGCATTTTCAGCAATGGGAAGGGCTGCTTGAGCTCCTTGGTTCTGACATTGGTAGTGCGGGCGGTCTTGAGTTCCTTCACAGGTATTTCTTTGTCCATCAAATTTGTCTCTCTACATGACAATGTTCAATGTCAGCTTAGGATATGATTGTGCGAAGGTACCGGGATTTCAAGAGGTCTCTGCAACAAGCTCTAGACAGAAGGTGTGGTGAGGCTGCTCGGCAAACTGTGGATTTTTTAATACAGGTGAAGTTCTAACATATTAGTTGTGTTTTTTTAACCATATATATCAACACTTAGTGGGCCCCAGCTGGGGAAGTGTCCCCCCCCTCTTTTTTTGATTTTTTTTCATACTATGTGTAAACTCTTTTTCCTATCTTAATTGAAAGGCAGAGCTCCTGCTATCTCTTTTAAAAAAACCATATCAACACTTCAGGCTCCCAGACCTTGGGAAAAAAGAGGATCTGGAAATTCAGTTTGAAACTATCAGTATAGGATTGTACCTTGGAGGATGCCAATAGTCTATTGTCTCCAGTCTCCTGACCATATAATTGTGTTTCCTTGCAGCTTATGAAAAACCCATCCACACCGCAACGTTTCTGGCTACCCCTTCTACATGACTCGGTAACTTATTATTTCTGTGTTGGCTTAGGAAGTTAGGATGCCAGTACCAGTTGTATCCAGACCACAGAACCAAATCTATTCCGTAACTCTGTCACCACTTTGTCCAGGTGGAGCTACTTAATAGCAAACTCAGCCCTCTTATGAATGTTGCTGAGACGACATTGTTGCTCAACAAGCTGCAAGAGCTGTCTATGGCCAAGTGTTGCCCTGATTTTTCCAGTAATCACCTACCAAGCCATGCGATAAGCTCTGTGAGATTGGCTCTGGCATCAAATCTGGCACGTGCCATTCTTGGAGACCCGTAGTCCAAGCACACTTTAGCACAGGAGTATGACGTTCAGTTTGCTGGTGGATTGTGACCATGTTTGCTTGGGGCTTCCCGGCAATTCAAATGATCAGGTTTGAGAAAAGATTGATCGTAGGTCTGCTCTGGCAGAGCGGTTCAACAGATGTATCACACATTGTACTCTTGCATTTGTGTTGCGAATGCATGCAGCATGCTGAGCGCTGTAGTTTGAACTTTGAAGGAAAGAAAGTATTGGCATGTTGTTTGAAAACATAATTTCTTCATCGGAGCAGCTTTTCTGAGAAAAGAATATAACAAAATGGCCTGACCAGTCGATTGCTTTTCTGTTTGGAAACACTATAGCCCTTTTCGTTAATTCTCTGAGGCCTTCAGCGGTCCAGCCTCCAGGATGGCTACGATGGGTGGATACAAAACAACCCGACTTTTATTTTGTGTAGAACAATGCAACTCATTTAAGGACCATGTAACTAGCGTTCTGGATTTTTCAGTCCCAATGTCTGCCACAGTTAAGAGAAGGCTAATAATCCAGCCAGCAAGTCAGCCTTTGGTCTTCTCTCAACCCACCCATATAGTAGTTAGCTCTTCAGTGTTAATATATGAAGCCCACCTATATAGTGGATAGCTTTTCAGTATTAATACATGACTCACTTATCTCTCTCACAAAGCTTTTTGGTTCTTGTGTCCAAACCGGCTATAAGCTCACAATCCGCTTCTCTCTCTCTTTCCTTTGTTTCTCTACCTCAGCATATTATACTTGCTCTAACCGATACGACGATTGTCCGTAAGTTTCCATTCTCATGGCATGTTACGGTCTATTTGGACTGTCTTATGTGGCCCTATTTTCTTTTTATCAAATCGAGAAACTTCAACCATAGGACGCGACGTGCGTTCTCTTCCTAAAGAAAAACATAGTTAGCGGCATGTGTCGTTATTGTCCTAATATAATAGCTAATAGGCCGTGCGACATAAAAATTAGTGTCATTTTTTTCTGTGACGCAATTAGGATTGAAACAAAGTGCTACCTATCTAAATTGTAAAATGAAGCAAGAAGCATCATTACAAGGCACAATTTTGGGCGGATGGAGATTTTTGACCAAATAAAGATATTATATAATCCTTGTTTATGCATTCATTTTAATAAGGGGCTTATATTCTTTAATAAACATAGTTTACCGTCAATAAATAGGTGTACATGTGTAATCTTTATCGAGCACTAACCTATCCTAAAAATCCTAAAACATCAAGATTGCTTGTATACCAATCTCCATTCTATATGAAGAAAAATACTAAAGATAGTGATGGCAACAATGATCAAGATTTGGCAACCATAAGAAAATAAGTCTTTTACTTGTGAGTCATTATAAAAGATCGAAATTCTTTTAAGCCACTAAAAAAAAGATCAGCTACACTGCTCTAGTGCTCTTGCATTTTGTTCCTCTACTGCCTCCTCGCTGCGTGTACGGACGCTGCTCGGTGCTGCACTCGTCGTGTCCGAGCGCTAGGACATGATGAATGCCGGCTCAGGCTCTTCTCCCAGTCCAAAGTCCAAACGCCACCGCACGGTCCAAACACGAAAGTTCTGTTTGGACACGGGATTTTTTTTCTATTCTTATAATTTTCATGTAAAAATAAATTGATTCATGTGAAATTGCTGCGTGATACGTTTGAAATTCATCCGTTCCGAACAGAGTTCGATAAACCTCCGCCTCCCGGGCCCCGGCCTTTTCTGGCTTCCTCCGCCCCCAAAGCGTAGATTGCTTCCTTCGGCGGAGTGCTGTGCACCTTCACCCTCCTCATCGGCGTCCTCGCCTTCTCCATCCGACTATTCTCTGTAAGATCGACCCGAACCCCACCATTTTAGATCCTTTTGGGAATCGGGGATTCGGTTTGCCCGGACCCATGCCTGTCTTACTGGTCCGTTCATGTGCCGCAGGTGATCAAGTACGAAAGCGTCATCCACGAGTTCGATCCCTACTTCAATTACCACGTCACCCAGGTTTTTTCCCCCGTGGCGCTTCCATGTTTGTCCAGAGTCTGTTATTGACTTATGGGGATGCATCAGGAGTTGAGTTCGCTTAGGACGCAGTGTTATGTTCTCTTCAACGAATTATGGGGTTAGGGACTTCGGTAGGGATGCGACGAACTCCATTTCTTTTGGGGCACCAGGTCGACCCAAAACTTGCTATGCAATTAATTTAGAAAATGGCATTGCCACTGTATTTAATTAATTAGCTGACCCAGAAAACACTGGGTACCACTTGCACCCCTATATATATATATATATATATATATATATATATATATGTATATATTTGCAAATTGTCTGTTCTCTTCGGCACTACTACTCGGGAGGAGGAAGATGTTAGTTTGGAAGGTCAAGTAGTGCCTAGGAAGGATACCTTTCGATATTTAGGATCAATGCTACAGAGGGACGGGGATATTGATGAAGATGTTAGCCATAGAATCAAAAGCAGGGTGGATGAAGTGGCGGCAAGCGTCTGGTGTCCTATGTGACAAAAGGGTACCACAGAAGCTAAAAGGCAAGTTTTATAGGACGACGATTAGACTTGCTATGTTGTATGGTGCAGAATGTTGGCCTACGAAAAGACGACATGTTCAACAGCTAAGTGTCGTGGAAATACGTATGTTGCGTTGGATTTGCGGTCATACAAGAAGGGATCGAGTTCGAAACGATGATATACGTGATAGATTAGGGGTAGCGCCAATTGAAGAAAAGCTTGTCCAACACCGGTTGAGATGGTTTGGACATATGCAACGGAGACCCCTAGAGGCACCGGTGCGTAGAGGAATCCTAAGCCAGGATAGTAACGTGAAGAGAGGCAGAGGAAGACCGAAGTTGACTTGGGTAGAGGCAATAAAAGGAGACTTGAAAGGATGGAATATACCCAAAGACTTAGCCTTAGATAGGAGTGCTTGGAAGACAGCTATTCACGTGTCTGAACCTTGATTGCTTCTGATGGGTTTCAACTCTAGCCTACCCCAACTTGTTTGGGACTTAAAGGCTTTGTTGTTGTTGTTGTTGCAAATTGTCTGTTCTAATATACGGCTGTATAGTCTTAGGTGACATGTGGATGTATTGAATGATCCCAACATTTGGGTGAATAAATGGCAGGGATGTTTTCCAATGTACATTTGCTGCTTGGATTTGTGCACAAGTGCTTTACTTGTGTGTCTTAATGTTTCAGAAGCAGTTGTGCAATGCACTTAAATTTTGATTCATTGTAATTCCCCCCTTGTTTCAGTTCTTGTCAAAGAATGGCATATATGAATTCTGGAACTGGTTTGATGACCGAACTTGGTAAGATTTCCAAGAACACTTGAATCTATCCTTGTTTTCCAGTTATTTCTATGCTCACTGTCACCTGCATTTAGGTATCCTCTTGGGCGTGTTATTGGCAGCACTGTCTATCCTGGTTTGACACTTACTGCTGGTACAATATGGTGGTATGTGAAATATTGCACTGCCAATGCATACTATTAGAGGAATGCTTCATTGGGTTGATTTGGACTACTGTTAGCATGACTCAATTGTTTGGTTGGCATAGGCTACTGAATTCCCTTAACATCCCATTGTCGGTGGAGACCGTCTGAGTCTTCACTGCTCCAATTTTCTCAGTCAATGCGCCCTGGGCAACTTACCTATTAACCAAGGTTGTTTTCTTATTATTAAAAACCCATGCTCTTACACTGGATTACTGAAGTTCTTTAGTAATCTCACTATTGTGTCTCCAGGAAACAAAGGGCCCTGGGGCTGGTTTGATGGCAGCAACTATTCTAGCAATGGTAATTGTTATATTGACTATGTATTTTGTCTCACTATTGTTTGTTTGATTTATATTTTTTCTGCTCTTCTATTCTTTTGTGGGCGCATCAAGAATGAGGCAATTAGATAAGGATATGTTAGCTTTGTCAATATTGTCTGAGTCTTTGAGTGTAACAGCTGAAGTGAGTCTTTGAGTGTAACAGCTGAAGTCTTGGCACTTTATTGTTTTAGTTGTTATGATCTGAACAACCCATTTTCATTGCAAGTCCTTGTTTGCTTATGCTCAATGTAGTCTCTCCTTGAGCAGTTCTGCATTCACATTGGTATGACTGTTTTGTAGTTAAATTTGAAGGAACTAAAGAAAAAGGAACTATTATCAAACCACTTCTGAGCTTCTATGTTCGAAAAATTCGAAGGAGCTGCTTTGGCCTTTGGTTTTTCTCATTCATCCAAGATACTGTTGCCTATCATTGACAAGTAGATATATTCCCGGCATGTAAAAGGCTCACTGTTCTGTTAATCTGAAAAACCAAAATGGTGAGCTGAAACCTGAAGGAAAACTAACTTCTGAGCTTTGTTCACTTTCACTGATTGGTGAACGATGAAAATTTCTTACTGGTGATAATCATGTTAGGAATTGGGTTTCTATGTGCGGGATATTGGTTTCCTTCATTTAATATGATGTTTAACATCAGCCTTTTCCATATGAATGTAAAAAAAGCAAGGCTTCTAATAGGTTTTCACCCTTCTTAGATGTTTAGCAGTATACCCTTGATCCTATGTTGTAAAGTCACTTAATAAAGAACGTACTCATTACTCCCTGCCAATATGCAGGTCCCATCATACATCTCAAGATCTGTCGCTGGCAGCTACGATAATGAAGCTGTAGCTATATTTGCTTTAATATTCACGTTTTATCTATATGTAAAGGTGAGAGTTTTTCCTTCTGTTGTTTTCTCTCTCTGAAGTATCTCTTTGCTACTTTAAACATGTATGAAATGATTTTGCAGACACTAAACACTGGATCACTCTTTTATGCGACACTTAATGCTCTCTCGTACTTCTACATGGTATTTTTGTTTCCTTTTTTTTTTATATTTGTAGTAACTGGTATAGACCATGTATCCAAGTTTTGACAGCATGGGTTCAAGCTGCACTTCTTTTGCGGGATGTGTTCAGTTTGACAGCATGGTGCTCTTCGCCAAGCCGCATCCCATCTGGTATGGACTTGGAGATTATTGAGCCGCCGGTGGCTGGTGCTACTGATCAGGAAGGGAAACGTAGTCTGGTCTACCCTGTGGAGATATCTTGCTCAATTTTGGATATTCATGCTCCTGCTGATGCCCCCCCACCCCCGCCTCCGGCTGATCACCACGGTGGTCGCCGTTGTAGGCGCTGGCGGCGGCGGCGTGGCTCACCGGAGGAAGAAACTGATCAGGCACATGGAGTTCCTTCGGAGGCACGCCCCCCAGTGCATGCCAGGCTGGGGGCTGTTCGGTCCCTGTGCAATCCGCAGGGTTCCGAGGTTGCACCTACCATCATTGTTGGTACGCAGCCCGAAGGGTCCATCAGAGATGAAGATGCTGCTCTTGTGCTGCTGGCTGTTAATGTTTTGCATCCTGACGGGGCCACAAATGAGGAAGATACAGCTACTGTGGCGTCTCCCGCGCCCAGTCCCGAGGAAGATACAGTTATTGAGCTTCAAGGCGTGCTGGCTGATGGAGTTGATTCTGTGGCGTCTCCCGCGCCCAGTCCCAAGGAAGATAGAGTTATTGAGCTTCAAGGCGCTGATGAAGTTGATTCGTCTCCCAACGGATCCAGCAGTACTGAGGAAAATCTCGTGCTGTTAGATGGGCCCGTCATTTTTAATGAGCTGCAGTCACATGGGGAAACCACAAAGGAAGCTCCTGCTCCCGAGGCGCCTGTGTGCGCTGCCCCATCGGTAGTCTTAATGGACTTTAATCCTGTACAAGAAATAGCAGAGGATCTCTCCTTCAATTCCTTGGATACTGGTGAAGTGCACAGCGCACAACACGAAGAGCCCAGCAGCAAGTTTCCCTCTGAAGATTTGGCAGCGCCTTTATTGGCGGAAGCACCCCAGCTTGCGCCTGAACTGCTGGACTTCGGTGCCTCCCTGCCAGTGGCGCCTGATGCTGGGCCCCCTGAAAACGCCCGGGCCGGGCCTGTTAGTGGGCTGCTTGATGGACCTGTGGAAACGGCCCATCTGCCTATGGACGGCCCTGTTATGGGGAATTTCTTTACAGGCCAGCTTCTCCATCCATCCCCAGCTGACAGTCAAGACACGCCTGTTCGGCCTCAAGTCCTGATGGTGGCACCGCACACGTCCTCTGCTGACGGCTCCAGGGCCGGGGCGCTGCGAGTGTACTCTCGCTTGCGCTTCCGTACTAGGCCCCCCTCTACCTCCGCACACTTCGGGGAAGTGGACGCAGCTGCTCCTTCAACTCCGGTGCTCCCCCAACTTGAAAGAGCTTGCAAGCCAACAGATAGCCTCCTACCGCTGCCTGTTATTCACATGAGGCGCGTCAAAGCTGTGGCTCCGGGTTCTTTACCTCGACGAAGCAGAAGGGTGGCTGGAGTTGACCCGTGTTCTCCAGGACTAGTCACCACCGAAGCACAAAGGAGGGTTATGAGGAGTCTAGGTTTTGCGTGCAAAGAAAAAATTGATCTCAAGACTCAAGATGCCTACTTCAAGATTATGGGGAGCCAACTCAATGAGAGCCATGTGGCTGCCATGGCGGCTATCTTCGGCTGGAACATCGAAGAGGACGCTCAGGTTCGAGCAGGGGACTTCCTGTAACTTCCTGGTTTCAATTTGCCGGTCGAAATTCTTTTGTTTTAGTCATGAATCCATCTTCTATTCTGATTTGGAATGCGCGTGGCCTTAACCAAAATAGCCGGTGTAATGCTGTTAGTGATGTAATACGTTCCTCAAATGCCCCTGTGGTTTGTCTTCAAGAAACCAAAATTGCTTTTATGAATCAGAGAATTTTCCTCTCAGTTTTTGGCACTGCTTATGACAAGTATGTGGAACTGCCAGCTGATGGTACGAGGGGAGGGATCTTGATTGCCTGGAAAAGCAATATTTGTCAGATCCTAGCTTCCAGAGTGGATAATTATTCTATCTCAGTTCAATTTGAGGAACAAGAAGGTCGCAATTGGTGGTTTACAGGAGTCTATGGTCCTCAAGATGATGTTGATAAGATAGCATTCTTGCAAGAGCTTCGTGATGTGCGAGCTTTATGTTCGGGCCCATGGCTGATAGCGGGGGACTTCAACTTAATATACCAAGCTTCTGATAAAAACAATACCAATTTGGATCGAGCAATGATGGGTCGGTTCAGGCGCTTCCTTGATGATGTTGAGGCTAAAGAAATTCCTCTGTTAGGAAGGAAATACACATGGTCTAATGAAAGATCTTCTCCCACCCTCGTGAGGCTTGATAGAGCTTTCTGCTGTGTTGTTTGGGAGGATATCTTCCCTGATGCCGTCCTACAGAGCAGCGCCTCGGTTGTGTCTGATCATTGCCCACTGGTTTTGGGTTTGAAGGTTAGTACTAGAGGCAAACGCAGATTCCATTTTGAGAGTTTTTGGACTAAAATGTCCGGATTTATAGAAGCAATTCAGCAGAATTGGAATGCTCCAGTATCTTCATCCTGCGCAGTTGAACGGCTCTTCCTCAAACTTCAGAGACTTAGCCGAGACCTTCAGAAATGGGGCCAACGGAAAATTGGTAATGTCAAGCTTCAGCTAGGGACAGCCAAGGAAATTCTGCACCATCTTGAGATTGCTAGGGATTCCAGGGATCTTTCTCCAAGTGAGGAATGGCTGAGGAAGAAACTTAAGCTTCACTGTTTGGGATTGGCTTCTCTTGAACGTACTATTGCACGCCTCCGTTCTAGAGTTCTGTACTTGAAGGAAGGTGATGCTAACACGTCCTTTTTCCACCAGCAAGCCCGTTACAGGAAGAAGAAAAACTTCATTGCAAAGTTGCAAGTGGGTGATCAAACAGTAGTTGACCAAGAAGATAAACAAGAAGCAGTCCTGCAGTTTTATGAGAATTTGTTGGGCACGGCTGATGAGAGGGATTATACCATTGACTTTGCAGAAATTGGGATTCAGCAGCATGATCTCTCTTCGCTGGAGAGCCCTTTCACAGAGGAAGAAGTATGGGCTACAATAAAGGAGATGCCATTGGACAAAGCCCCAGGACCCGATGGATACACAGGCATATTTTATAAATCTTGCTGGGGTATTATCAAAGACGACATCATGTCGGCTTTATCGGCTATACATCGAGGTCATGTGGCTCGTTTCAGGCTGCTCAACACAGCTTTCATCTCCCTTTTACCAAAACAGCAGGACGCCAACTCGGTCAAGGATTTCAGGCCCATAAGTTTAATTCACAGTTTCGCCAAGCTGGTGACAAAAATCATGGCCAACAGACTGGTTCCCTCTCTTGCCAAGCCTGGTCCCTCCCAATCAGAGCGCTTTCATTAGAGGAAGGAACATACATGATAACTTTCTTTTTGTACAACAGATGGCCAAGGCTTTGCATGGGAAAAAAGAAGCGCATGTTCTCCTAAAGTTGGATATCTCAAAAGCCTTTGACTCTGTCTCTTGGCCTTTTCTGTTGGAGGTTCTTCGCCACCTGGGCTTTGGACAGCGGTGGTGTAATCTTATATGCTTGGTGCTGTCTACTTCGTCTACTCAGGTATTGGTTAATGGTGAGCCAGGGTCTGGTTTTTTCCACCATCGTGGTCTTAGGCAGGGTGATCCCCTCTCACCCTTGCTATTCATCTTGGTAATGGATGTACTCAATTCCTTGATAAACTATGCCACCAGACACCACCTTCTGCAACCCCTCACGGTACAGCAGGCCATTCATAGGGCCTCTTTCTATGCGGATGATGCTGTTATCTTCCTTCGACCATGTGTGGATGATCTCAGAACAATGAAACAGATTTTAGATATTTTTGGTCAGGCCTCTGGACTCCATACAAACTTCTCCAAGAGTTCAGCTTTCCCAATTCAGTGCTCACAGGAAGAGGTACAGCAAATTTCGGAGCACCTGGCATGCTCCACAAAGGAGTTTCCGTGTACTTATTTGAGCTTACCACTTACAATCAGAAAACCTTCCAAGGAAGTACTCCTGCCTCTGATTGACAAGGTTGCTGGTTACCTCCCAAGCTGGAAAGCCTCTCTGATGAATAGAGCAGCAGGCCTGATTATGACTAGGGTGGTTCTCACGGCTTCTGTGATACATCATCTTCTGGCTATTGACCTGCCCAAATGGGTTATCAAAGCTATTGACAAAAAACGGCGGGGTTTCCTTTGGAAAGGACAAGAACAGGCAAATGGTGGAAATTGCCTGGTCTCATGGGAAAAGGTACAATGCCCTTTGGAATATGGAGGTCTGGGCATACACAACATTGAGTCCTTTGGTTGGGCATTGCGGATTAGATGGCTTTGGGCTCAAAAAACAGATCATTCTCGTCCTTGGGCTGGTCTTCATATCCAGGTACCCCAAAAGGCTCAAGCCTTATTTAACATGGCAGTGGTCTCGGTTGTTGGAAACGGGGAAACAATCCTATTCTGGAAAGACAGATGGTTGGAAGGAAAAACTTTGGCTGAAATTGCTCCTAATCTGTTTCAGACTATTCCTAAGAAAGTTGTCAAATCTAGAACAGTGGCACAGGCCCTCTCCAACAGGCACTGGGTTTCAGATATTAGAGGAGGCCGCTCAGTGGAGGTCCTGATGGAGTACCTGTTACTTTGGGATCAGTTAGATGGTGTCCATCTAAATCAGGATATCCCGGATCAACACCGCTGGAAGCTGACCCAATCTGGAATCTACACCAGCAAGTCAGCATATGAAGCCCTTTTCGTTGGCTCAATAAAGTTTATCCCATGGAAAAGAATCTGGAAAAGTTGGGCTCCCTTACGCTGCAAGTTCTTTGTCTGGCTGGCTATTAAACAGCGGTTATGGACTGCTGACCGGCTGGCCAGGAGGGGCCTGCAGCACCCCCCGGCATGTCTGTTCTGTGACCAAGCGCAGGAAACAGCCCCCCACCTGCTGTTGTCTTGTGTTTTTACTAGACAAATTTGGATTTTGGTCTTCTCACATCTCAATCTGGTAGTTGATGTGCCGGTAAACTCCTCTACCTTCTCAGCTTGGTGGGGCAAAGTCATTAGAGCTGCTCCAAATCAGTGGTGAAAGGGTTTAAATTCGCTCATCATTTTGGTGGCTTGGGAGATTTGGAAACATAGAAATTCTTGCGTGTTTGAAGGTGTTCTCCCTAACTCCCAGGTGCTCCTGCAGGCCATAACAAATGAATGCACCCTGTGGTGCTTGGCTGGAGCTTCTAAGCTCAAAGAGCTGCTTGCCAGGTCGCTTGTAGCACCATCTTAGGTTTGGTGCTCTATGGTCAGGTCTTTCCTTGTTTTGGGTGTGTAGTGTTTTGTAAGTGTGGGGGTGTGTTTGGTACTTAGTCTGGGGGCTCTCCCCCTCTCTATGTACTTTCTTTTCTATCTTAATGAAATGACTCGCAGCTCTCCTGCGTAGTTCGAGAAAAAAAAAAGAAAAAAAAATAAAAATAAGAATGACATGACACATTAATTTAGGGATAGAAATGAACTAAACTAGCTGACCTAGAAAGCACCATTTGGTACCCACTTGCAATCCTGACGTACCTACATGTTATCCTTTATTTCCTACCTTTTCCCATTTCAGTAAAACCTTGGTTGCAAGCTAATGCATCTTCCCCTATCCTCTCTGTTATTTCAAAAACAGGTGTTTATAATCCTCCATGTGGTTGCTCTGGTTTATTACATCAAAGGACTTTTAACTCCTCGACTGTTCAAAGTGGCCATGACATTTGTTATTACAGTTGGATTGTAAGTTTCTGATTTTGGAAGTTGGAACTAGTTGAAATGCATAATAAATGTTATCTCTTAATGGTTCATAATTTTGAGCAAAGACAGATTTGTTCCTCAGGAGTCAAAATGAAGCAGTTGTTCATGTTTATGTCATTGAACTTCTAGCTATCCACTTGACACATCTAACAGCAAAAATCCTGCAGGTCTGTTTGTTTTGCTGCTGCAGCTATACTCGTTGTATTGATTGCATCAAGCCCAACAAAAGGTTGGAGTGGTCGCAGTTTGAGTCTGCTGGATCCGTAAGTTCTTATCAAGTTGACATTGTTAGTTGAACTGTTGAGCTCTTGATGTTCTGTGCAAAGTAAGATGTTAGATTTGGTCTCTAGGAACACAAACTTTTAAGATTTGATTGTTAAAGTTGCTAGAGAGGTTTACTAGTGCTCCTTTATGGTTTCCCCGTTGGTACATAAAGTGCAATGATATTTACAGGCACACATGTTTGTGACACCTTGATTTTTGCATGCATGATGAGCTCTCAACATAATATCTTGTTATAGTGAAGTATCCACATTTCCTTATCAACTCATGTGTCTAAGTCTAAGTGGTTTAATTTATTTGCAATATACTGAGAAATGTAGTTAGATATGATACTATAAGAGAGTATATTTGTTGTCAAATGGACCTTTGTTGTGTTTTTCCTAGTTGCTGCTAAACCTGTTATCAACTTTTGTTATACAATCAATCCATACTTCTTCTTTTTCTGTATAAGTTGACACATTGACTGTTTGTCCTTCACCTTTTCCTTTTGCTCCTGATAGAACCTATGCAAGCAAGTACATCCCTATAATTGCTAGTGTGAGCGAACACCAACCACCAACCTGGCCTTCTTATTTTATGGATATCAATGTGCTGGCCTTCTTAGTTCCTGCTGGGATCATAGTAAGTATTCCATTTCTTTTAGTTGATCAAGCAGTTTAGTTAGTTAGTTTTACCATGTTTTTGATTTTTGACTGATTGGTGTTAACTCAATTTTCAGTCATGCTTCATACCGTTATCTGATGCAAGCTCATTTTTGGTCCTGTACTTGGTAACCTCAGTGTATTTCTCTGGAGTAATGGTAAAGCCCTTTAGCATGGAACATTTGCAAACTGCAGTACAATGCTGGTCTTTTTATCAATCGATATGTTATTGCAATGATAGGTCCGACTTATGCTGGTCCTTGCTCCTGCTGCATGTATTTTGTCTGGGATTGCTCTGTCTGAAGCTTTTGGTGTCCTTACAAGATCAATGAAATTTCAGCGTCCAACACTGGATGATGTATCTTCCACAGTATGACTGCTTTCTTCGTGTCTTTTTTCCTATTTATTCCATTGGGTTATCCACTCACATGATATTTCATCAAATTCAAGGCAGGGGATGGGAGTTCTGATACTCCTACCAACTCAGAAATGGTTTCGAGGGAAAAACCATCCAAGAAAAATCGGAAGAAAGACAGACTCAGAGGGAAGTTCACCTGTTGATCATAGAACTGAAGAAAAGCTTTTAGTACTGCCTTGTGGGCCATCTGCTGTGGGCATAATGCTGCTGATCATACTTTCTGGTTTTTACGTGGTAAGGGAACTGTTCTTTCTGCAAACTACATTCCCGTTAGATTACATGAACATCGCTAGTAAATGATGCCATTTTTGCAGGTCCATTGTGTGTGGGCTGCTGCAGAAGCATATTCAGCACCTTCAATTGTGCTAACATCTCGTTCACATGATGGGTTTCATGTTTTTGATGATTTCCGTGAAGCTTATGGATGGCTGCGCCATAACACAGATGTAGATGATAAGGTATACCTTGCTTCTTACTATTACACTATCTGTGTTTATTCTGACAGCTATATGATATTTATTTTGGCAGGTGCATCTTGGTGGGACTATGGTTATCAGACAACTGCAATGGCAAACAGAACTGTTATTGTGGACAATAATACATGGAATAACACACACATAGCAACAGTTGGGACTGCAATGGCATCCCCAGAAAAAGCAGCATGGGAGATCTTCAATTCCTTAGATGTCAAATATGTGCTCGTTATCTTTGGAGGTTGTTACATTTTTGGCTTCTAGAAGCAAACAATTGCCTTAAACAAGTGCTGCCATTCACCTAAACCTGATGATTCTTTTTTCAGGGCTTATTGGCTACCCAAGTGATGATATTAATAAGTTCCTCTGGATGGTTCGAATCGGAGGTGGTGTGTTCCCTCAAATAAAGGAAGCAGATTACCTTGTAAGTTGTGGACTTGCATCTTGCATTTCCTTGCCAATAACAGGAATGTGATCTGCATTTATTAATTAAGAGAGAGGTCTGGACAATACTACTGTCCCTCAAAGAGTGACATTTTGGTTGTCTTAAGTCAAAGCATTTTATGTTTGACCAACTTTATATAGAAGATTATCAATGTTTATGGCACTAAATAGATTTACTATGAAAATATATTTCTTGATGAATCTGATGATGTCACGACCGGCATCACGTATCAGCGGCGCAAGCGCAAGTGTGGCTGAACGTCGAGCCGCTGCACGGGCACCACACAAGGCTTTAGTTGCTCCGGTTTCTTGAGATTAGTTGTTGACTTGTTTCCCAATTGTTAGGAGATTTGGTTGTTGCATCTTAGCTCAAGTCTGTTAGGCTTTGGGGTATATAAGTACCCGGAGTATTCGTTTGATAAGAATCAAGCAAGGCTGCATGCCCCTCTCTCACTCGCTCGCAAGCACAGCTCCGCCACATCGTTGGGGGTTTAAGCCCCAACCACCGACCACCCACTGCTAACACCTGTGCTATCTGCTATACCATGGCTCCTATCAAATGATATTCATTTGACACATAATTTTTTGTATAAACTTAGTCAAACTTAGGGTTGTTTGACTTAGGACAAAACCAAAATGATTTTCTTTATGGGCCCGCAGGTACTATCTTCTACTTCCTCCGTTCCAAATTATAAGACGTTTTGGCTTTTCCAGATACATAGCTTTTGTTATGCACTTAGATATACACTATGTTTGGATACATAGTAAAGTTAATGTATCTAGAAAAGCCAAAACGTCTTATAATTTAGAACGTACGGAGTAGCTGCTAGCCTTTTTTGGTGTGTGTCTCTGTTGGTTGTGGGTGGGTGGTTTACATCTTGAGATGAAAAGGCTCTGTCAAATATTTGGTGTTTCGTTTTGTGTATCTTATTTCTCTAGAAGGATGGCAACTACCGTGTTGATGCTCATGGCACCAACCATGTTGAATTCCCTCATGTACAAGCTTTGCTATTACAGGTCTGTGACACATCGAAGTTATTATACTGTGCTCAATTGACACATTTGTGAATGAAGTGTAACCTTGTTTTCCAATGTTCGCAGATTCGTCGAAACTGATGGTAAGGGCTTTGATAGAGTGAGGAGATATGAAATAGGGAAGAAGCATTTTAAACTTACGCATTTTGAGGAGGTGGAGTGCTTTTATTCTTTTTCTTTTCCAATTTGGACGTGAAAAATCCCCTATTGTTTGAATAATGCATTCCTTGTGTTTCCATGCTGCTGAATGCAGGTTTTCACAACTCACCATTGGATGGTTCGGATTTACAAACTGAAACCTCAGAAGAACAGAGTCAGAGGGAAACTGAAATTTAAATCTGTGAGTCAGACAACACAATTTGCTTGGATATAGGCATATTGAAACATCGGCATCTTAAACCTTTTTTACCTCACTTCTTTACCAGAGTTCAAAAACAAGTTCTATGCGGAAAACTGGTGGAAAGAAGAGCCCATGGCAGTGCTGGAGTCACTAGTCATCCTGAGAAAACCACAAATTCACAAAAATGAGTTAGATTAAAAGTATAGCATAGCATCGGTGTGTTCTTTGTTATTGTCATGGAGCAGATTATAGGGGTGCTTCATGGTTTTCGGCATTTGATCTTCGTAATGACATTTCTGCAGCTAGGGAGTCTGATGAAATTTGTGACAGGTTCTGGAGTGAAGCTTTATCCCATTTAAACAAGATAGACTTTGTTTGTAGGAACCTGACTGAGCGCCTGGCTGTTTGGAAATAGGAATGCCAAATTTAAAGGTTGTTTGGTTTGAAGAATATGGTGGCCTATCTTTTCATTGAGGCCTATTTTGGAATGCAGGTTTTTTTTTATTTCCTGTACTTTTCTGTAAAAATGAATTGATTCATGTGAAATTTTTGTGTTCCAAGGGGCCTTTGCTTGGTTTTGTGAAATGGAATTAATTGCTACAGTGGCATGAACAGTGTAACAAGTGGAGCTGAAGCCATATGAAGCTCTGTAGTTTCGTCTGATGATCTATTGTGTTGCTTTGGGTCCAAGAATCAGTAACCAAGGTATACGGAGTGTTTTTTTTGGGGGGTGTGTGTGTGTGTATGCATTTATACAAAAAAAAAGTATAACCAATCATCAGGACTGTTTATCATATATATATATATATATATATATATATATATATATATATATATATATATATATATATATATATATATGTGTGTGTGTGTGTGTGTGTGTGTGTGTGTGTGTGTGTGTGTACCATCCTATGGTCCAAGTCCATGCATTTACGAGATAGACTGTATATCCTCTTCAATTTATTTTAGCTTTGCCACTGCCAAGAATCATATATTGGAATAAATATTGTACTCTTATTTTGCTAGAAGCATGTTGCAAGTATTGCCCTTAGTTTACTAGTATTATTTTGCCAGATCACATAAACCTACCATACAACCAGTGAATATATGACACATTGGTTCCTCAGATAAGCCTTGCCTTGCCCAATCAAAAACTGAAGAAAGAAACGAGTTTGCTTTCCTTATCCTGCGGGTTTTCCTTTCTGAAGTGAGCGAGCAAAACCAGCTCTCCATGACAGGTAAGATTAGGCTCGCCTGACCAAGTGAGGAGAGGAACATGCTCCAGTCTAAACATGCTTCGATGCCCGTAATAAAGCATAACGTTGGTCCGTGAGATATTAGGATACGTTTTTTCTATAAGCTCGGGAGGGAGCAGCTCTCCCCACTTTTGATTGATTAATTAGGAACGATAAATAATTGTTGTTCAGTTACAACAAATTAGGGAGGGATGCAAATTTTGCTAAGCATATTTGTAGGTTTACACTGCATTTTTTGAAATCAAGCATATTGATTGGGTTACACTACAAGTCTGATCGGCTGTACTTATTTGGCAGCGGCAGCTGCTGTGGCTTCATAGATGCACTTCTAATCTACAAGATCTTTTAGTTTGGATTTGTACAACAGTACCGAGCATGGCCATAAGCAAGCTAGTACATTTTAGGACCCATTTGGTTTCTGTGGCAGTCTCGTTATGCCTAGAGATGGCAACGAGTATACATCCGTTGGGTATTGCTATCCCATATCCGTACCCACGAGATAAAATTTTACCCGCTAAATTACCCGTACCCACGCACGGATAGAACACTTTACCCATACCCGTACCCGCGTGGGTAAAAATACCCGACGGGTAACCCGTACCCGAATGCATACCCGCTACAAACCAAAAGAACATAAATATATTGTACTATTAGAATCATATATCATCAATTCTTTGTCAATAGAAATCAACAATTATAACATAGCAACAAAGCTACACTAATTAATACTATAATAGTCATAGATATATTAGATATATGTGTATTTCATAGTAACTAGTGAATACATATGTGTTGCTAAGGTGGGTATAAATTACCCGTGGGTACACGGGTGTGGGTAGTATGTTCTCGTATCCGTACCTGCATACCTGATGGGTAAAGATTTTTACCCATTAGTATACTCATGGGTGAAGAATTCTTTCCATACCCGCCTTTTTATCGGGTAAAACCCATCGGGTAGTCGGGTTTTAGATATCGACTGTCATCTTTAGTCATGCCCCACCAGCCTGGAATCGAACAAGCTTGGGCTGAGCGAGCCAAACTAGGGGTGTGCTTGGAACCTTCACCGGGTTTGCCTCGCCTCGCCTTTAGTGGATGACACAAGCCACGAGACGCTTGCCCAGCCAAGCTAGCCAATTTGGCTTTCTTGAAGTAGCCAGAAAAATCTGGTTAACGTGGAAACTGAGATAAGCAAAGTGCAAGATCCAAACAATTTAGTCAGATCAATTTCTTGCTCAGCCAGGTAAAACAGTGCCTAGCAAAAGTACCAAGCACACCCTAGCTCTTTGGTTCTAGCAAGAATTTTGTTCACCAGGTAAGGTAAGGCGAGGCAGAGCGGAGGATCCAAATATGTCATGAGTTCGGTTTGTGATCCATTATTATCTTACTCTAATATTTTATTTAGTTTTGAAATAAAATAAGTTGATCCTCCTATCATTTCTCATGAACTAATAATAATTAGTACTATTATGAGACATCATCATTTCATTAAATTTGAGAAATAAATTCATAATGATTGACCCTGTCTACAATGGTTTGTTTCATGGTTTCTGTTCGCTCGAACTTATCAGCCGTACAATTTTAATAAAATAATAATATTTTTCTCTCACAATAAATCAATATAACATCAGCATCAACCGTTTTTTTTAACCAGCCGAACGGAGCCCATAGTTTCAACCAAACAATCCATATATGCACACTATCCATTTGAATCGAACGTCGGCAGAGGTAGCTGTCGAACGTTTGAAGCGTCTGGAACTCTCTGGCGCCTTCTAGTCCCCAACTCGCCGTCTTCCTCCCGCTTCCACGCATTCCAGGCTCTTCGCGAACTTTCCTTTCCCGCCTCTAATCCATCTATTTTCTCTCCAAATCCCATATATACCCAGCCGAAAAACACAAACGCCAAGCGGATCATCAGAGCGAGGAATTTGACTAACACCTAGCGAATCTCTCAATCACCACAGCGGATAGAGCCTATTGATTGGACGGCAGAAGGAACCAGTGATGAATCCTGACAAGTTCACGCACAAGACGAACGAGGCGCTGGCCTCGGCGCACGATATCGCGTCAGAGGCCGGCCACGCCCAGATCACGCCGCTGCATCTCGCGGCGGCGCTGGTCGCAGACAGGTCCGGCGTCATCCGCCAAGCCATCGCCCACGCGTCCGGCGGCAATGACGTCGCTGCTGCCGATTCCTTCGAGCGCATCCTGGCTTCCGCGCTCAAGAGGCTGCCCTCGCAGTCGCCTCCGCCGGATACTGTCCCGGCTTCCACCGCGCTTGTCAAGGTCATCCGCCGCGCGCAGTCCGCGCAGAAGGCGCGCGGGGACTCCCACCTCGCCGTGGACCAGTTGCCGGTAGGCCTCCTCGAGGATCCCCAGGTCTCCGACGCACTCAAGGAGGCCGGCGTTGCCGCGGCGTGGGTGAAGGCCGAGGTCAACAAGCTCCGCGGCGGCGACAACCGCCGCGTGGAGTCTGCATCTGGGGACACCAGCTTCCAGGCGCTCAAGAAGTACGGCCGCGACCTCGTCGAGGTGGCGGGCAAGCTCGACCCGGTCATCGGCCGCGACGAAGAGATCCGCCGCGTTGTGCGTATCCTGTCGCGGCGCACGAAGAACAATCCCGTACTCATCGGCGAACCCGGCGTAGGCAAGACCGCCGTCGTGGAGGGGCTCGCTCAGCGGATCGCGCGCGGCGATGTCCCCAGCAACCTCCTCGACGTGCGCCTCGTCGTGCTCGACATGGGTGCCCTCGTTGCCGGCGCCAAATACCGCGGCGAGTTCGAGGAGCGGCTCAAGGCCGTGCTCAAGGAGGTGGAAGAGTCAGATGGGAAGGTGATTCTGTTCATCGACGAGATACACCTCGTCCTCGGCGCTGGGAGGACGGAGGGGTCCATGGATGCGGCCAACCTGTTCAAGCCAATGCTCGCGAGGGGGCAACTCAGGTGCATTGGTGCGACGACGCTGGAGGAGTACCGGAAGTACGTTGAGAAGGATGCCGCGTTCGAGAGGCGGTTCCAGCAGGTGTACGTGGCCGAGCCCAGCGTTCCCGACACTGTCAGTATCCTGAGAGGCCTCAAGGAGAAGTATGAGGGACACCATGGTGTCAGGATCCAGGACCGTGCGCTCGTCATCGCCGCGCAGCTCTCGTCGAGGTATATCATGGGTAAGTGTCCGTGTTCTTGGCTTCTTGCAAATCTGTTCTGATTCTCCTCGTCTTTCTCTAGTACGTAAAATTGTTGGTATCATGTTGCAATTCTGTGGTTGTGTCTCCTAATTAAATTTGGTGGTTTATTGTTTTGTATATAGGTCGACATCTGCCTGACAAAGCTATCGATTTGGTTGACGAGGCCTGCGCAAATGTGAGGGTGCAGCTCGACAGCCAGCCGGAAGAGATCGACAACCTTGAGAGGAAGAGGATTCAGCTCGAAGTCGAGCTCCACGCCCTCGAGAAGGAGAAGGACAAGGCCAGCAAAGCTCGGCTAGTTGAGGTGGGTGGCATGGTGAACTCGGTTTCTCTAGTGGTATAGCAGTATAGCACCCCCCGCTTTGCTCTGTTCAGTTCTGAATGGCTGACGATGTACGAACCCCATTTCAGGTGAGGAAAGAATTGGACAATTTGAGGGACAAACTGCAGCCGCTGCAAATGAGGTACCGCAAGGAGAAAGAGAGGATAGATGAGATCAGGAAGCTGAAGCATCATCGTGAAGAAATGCTGTTCTGCCTCCAGGAGGCTGAGCGGCGGATGGATTTGGCTCGTGTGGCTGACATCAGATATGGTGCTCTCCAGGAGATTGATGCTGCCATTGCCAAGCTAGAGGGTGAGACCGGAGAGAACTTGATGCTAACTGAGACTGTTGGCCCAGAGCAGATAGCTGAGGTACGTTTGTTAGAGGCGAAAATT